TTACTCAATTTCATTTGTTATTTAAATATTTATCTTTTGTATCTCTTCTGAAAACAAAATTTTGAAATTCCTCCAACATATTTCTATAAAATATAAACATTGAACGTATATATCTATGTTGTCTCTCGTACAGGGTATTCCCCTATTCAAGCGAAACATTTCGAATTCCTCTGTTCCGTTCTCTGTATCATTTCTTTAACCAGTTTCATCTGCTTTTTTGCATCGCCTCATTGGCGAGCGGCCAACAATTTTTAAACGCCACCAAACACCGTGGGTCATTGTTGTCATTGTCATAATTAAATTTTCAGCATAGTTAAAAATAAATGCAATTGGTGGGGAAAATAATAGCCCGGAGAGAGAGAGAGAGAGAGAGAGAGAGAGAGAGAGAGAATGAGAGAGAAAGAGCAAGTAAGCAAGCCAATTAATTAAAAATAATTTTGATTAAGTGCAAATTATTGCTGTAAAATGTACGCAAAGTATAAAATCAAATCATTAATTAATATTTACATAGCGCATACTTTGCACGCTTTTGTTTATTCACATTCGAATTTGTGTAAACACAAATCCGTGGAACTCATCTATATATATAGTTTTTATATCTCCAGATCGCCTATATCGGCAGTTGCAAATAGTTTACGCTATTTCCATGGCTATAAAAGATAGCAAACACATGTTTATGTTACTTGGGATGAGAAATATTTGTACGCCGATGTGTGTATGCTCTATACGTTGAAAATATAGATTGGATTGAGGATGGGCTTTGTAGATTTGAGTTGATATTAGGGCATATTAAATAAATAGATAAATTATTATATATAAAGAACAAAATTGAAAATTTTACTTTTTCATTTAAATAATTATATAAACACTTAAATATATATTTATAATATAATAAAATATATATAAAATTAATATAAATATTTAAATATTTACAGCTTTAAATGCTACTATATTTCAGGCAAATCGAAAAATCGAAAAAAATATCACTCGATTATTCGCGTGTTCGTACTACCAACCACATCATTCAATGATTCAATCTTTTTGATTGAACTACTACTATCACATCATTCGTATTACCGAAAATTCATATAAACTGAATATTCATATACAAATATACCTATTTCATATACACATAAATATTATATATCTTGTACTTCCGTCAACTAAAGAGTATCTGGCAGTCAAGCTCAACAATTAAACACATTCCGTTTTGGCATGATATTTTATTTATTCACAATTGAATGAAGCGAGAAAAAAGAAGGGAAAGAAAAAGACTTTGGCAATGGCCACACATAGATCGATTTAAATTCGTTTAAATTTGGATTCGCTTTTTGCCCGAAACTCTTTAAAGATGGGCATAAATATTAAATGGTTTTTCGCACTTACCCCGATGCGAGTCGACTGACTGTATGGAAATCTGCGTACGTCATTGCGATTAATGTGAGTCCCCGTCCCACCCTCCTCGCACACTGCTAGCCATTTAAGTGGCGGGAGGTCTGTCCGTACATACATCCGTCCGTCCGTCCGTCCGTCTGTTCGTTGGTTGATTTGGCTTGGCGCCAACAAAATTTCGCGTTTGAAATGCGCTGCTCGCTTTACTAGGTTAAATTTAATTAATTTGTCTCGATGATGCTCGGTTGCCATCCTCGTCGTTGATTTGCAATGTTTGATTATTTATTCATTTCGCATTTTAACTGAATAGGTCTGCTCGCCCACCACAACCTCAGGCGGTCACTCCCAGCCACCCAGCCACCCAGTTCCCATTCCCCAGCCCCCTTTGACAGCCCGCCACCAAACAGTCGCATTGCAGCATTTGCAATTTTATTGCATTTATTTATTTATTATTTTATGTGCATTTTGTGTATGTATTTGCTTTGTGTATGTGAGTGTGTGTGTGTTCCTCTCTGAAATTTACACAATTCCAATTAATGGCATTTAATTATTTATTCGGCATTTTGCACATTGTATTCGCCATCCAGTTCCAGTTCCAGCGGCAGCTGTGAATTTTGCATTTTTATGGCGTGTTGCAAATTTTGCGCTTTGAATATAAATTTCAAATAAAATGCCACAAATTGAGGCAGCCAGCCTCGGTTCCTCTATCTATTTGATAACATTGCGCAATGCAATTTAAGTAGATAATAATACTGGGGCGGCGGGTCAGAGCAAAAAAGAAAATAAATAAATATAGAAATGAAGAATAGATAGGAAACTATTGCCAGACGGGATTTTAAAATATTTATTTAACTGCCATAAATATATTTATTGCACATAATGAAAAGATTTTATTTTCATCAAATCACATTTATAATTACATATATATTTGTAATTATATATAAATAATTATAAAGTCAAAGCACAAATTTTGGTAATAATATTAATTTAAATTTGCCATATTTTAATTGAGTTTGTAAATGTTATGCAAATATAATAAAGATTTTATCACATTAGACAGCTTGTCCAGCAACATGAGTCAGTCATGCAAACTGGAACTGATTTTTATAAACGTTCATATGGTGCAATCTAGTACATTGGGCTTGTATGCCTAATGCGCCTGTAAATCAGTTGATTCATAAAGCAAAATGCATAAAAGCATGAATATATATTTTATTCACATTTCTTTGATCTTCCAGCTGGAACAGACATTTCAATGAATATCTACTGCACCCTATAAATATTATATTGGCGCTAATAAAACAAGACTTGACTTGTAAATTATATATCTACAAATCAGATAAACATTTAAGCATTGGAAAGTGTGGGATAGTCGTTTAAGTAATATTATGTACAGGACATTTGATTTACAACATTTTATTGAAGAGAGAAGATAGGCATTGTATCCTCATGGATATCCTATACTGCATTATATATACTTCTCATGATATCCTATACTGCATTAAAATCACATTTGAAACTCTCGGTCCTTTTTTTAGTTGTCAGATCAGAGAAAAGTAGCCAGAAGTTCCATCTCTTTCGAAATATAAGAGCTAGGATGCTCCGTAATCTCACAAATCAATTTTTTATAAAAGAGACATTGTTAAGGGGAAGAATTCATAGAAAGCTTACTTGCAAAAATAAATCGACTGTAAATTACTTTGGAAAGCATTTGCTCTCTATTTGCAATACATCTATTAGTTATATAATTCTAAGACACATATTTATCAATAAAACATAACATAAAATATAAATATATATTAAAGAAATTCCTTGAAATTGATAATAAAACAATGCCATAAAACAATTTGAATATCAGTGCAGCTGATAATTGATTGAGCAATCAAAGCTGGAAAAACTATATTTAAATATCAGCAATAAATATTTATTAACACCAATAAGCTGAAGCAACGTTTTCAGCTTAATCACTTAAATCTCTATAATTTAAAAATGAATTATTTCCGCGTTAAATCGTTTGGGTTAAATCGGCTTTAATTGCCTTAACCGGTTATCGAATTCGTTCGCCAATCTTGCACATTTCATTGTTTATTTTCCGTTTACATAGACACAAAATATTAAATTGCCTGTTTATTTAGGTGAATCAGAAATTCTATAAATACCCAACCGAAAATTCTAATTTCAAATTGAAGCTCTCTCGCTTCGCGCTCAATCTTATCAACGAGTTGTCATGGACAGAGCGCAGGCGAAGCACTCCAAAAATACATTTCACACACACAAATAACATAAATCGAGAGGCAGAAATAAAATAAGAAATAAAATAAAAAAGAAACGCAAAATAAAAAAAGAGAGACAGACAAATAATCGCGGAAAGCTATTAAATTTTAATCAGAAACACAAGCGACCCTGCGGTCAAAATTCCCACCAAAGCGAGCAGAGTCACATATGATGGGCATGATAATTCTCTCTCTCTCTTTGGAGCTCAGTCCTCTGGCTGGTTAACTCCCAACATCGAATCCACTGATTAATCGCACAGCACGCGGGGTCATTTGACGGCGCCATCCCATCCCATCTCAGCCATACCCTACCACATCTTCAACATCATCATCATCATTATCAACATCATCAGCATCATCATTCTGATCATCATCAGCACGATTTGTACCCATCTACATCATCCTCAGCTGCGCAGCGGCAGCAATTTGTTTATTTTGATTCGTGTGACGCGAAAGAACTGTTTTCGCAAATTTGTTTGCGTAAATGCTCTTTTCTCTATTTGCTTTTAGTCGCCCACGCGTTGGGTTTGTCCCAATGTGAGGTCTACCTATTGCATATGCAATATATATTTGAATTTGTTATCATTTGAATGTCATATTTACTCCCAAATGCAAGGTAATAAAGTAAGGCCTATACATGGTTCTAAGCGATAGATTTCTGTTTAGATATTTCTACATCAAAATATATAAAGAATTCCTTAAGACGTGTCCGTGCTTCAATATCGAAAGTATGATAAAGATATATATTTTTCAAATTAGCCAAATTTTCTTCAAGCATAATTATTGGTAAATATTAAATAAATATTATTGATTTTATATAATAAAAATAAAAAAATTATTAATATTTTTTAATAACTAATAATATTTATGCTTGAAAAAAGTTGGCTAATAATTTAAAAAAATATATTTATCATACTTATATTCGACATTGAATAAATTTTATTATTTTTTATAATTAGTATTAAAAAATGAATATTATTTATGTAATTATTAATAATATATATGCTTGAGGAAAATATGGCTACTTTAAAAAATATTATAATATATTTTATAAATATTTATAATATATAAATTCCTATTATGTGTGAACGAACATTTTCGATTATTTTATATGATTGTATATTATCTCTATATTCAAATTACGATCGACTTGGAAGTACAATTTAAGACAGGCTAAATTGCTATCACAAAGAAATTTATTTTTACTACAAGTAGACAAACTTACATATAATTTATTTTCATTCAATTTTAAATTATGAAGGAAATACAATATCATTTGATCACAAATAGATCACTAGTTTATCAAATATAGTTTAATACTTTAGTTGAGCTTACCTGATGTGCATTCCATTGCTGCATGAGATCCTCGTAACAGGGCATGCAGGCCTGAATCATGCCGCGTGGATCCTTGGGACGCGAACGCGCTGGTCGCGGATGCTGTTCGTTGAAGAGCGGAAAGTAGGCAACCGACTGACCGAGCCGGGATTCCTTTGGCTTGACGGTGCTCAGCTCGACGAGGCTGCCGCGACGCTGCTCATCGCCGCACACATAGCAGACTTCCGTAATGGAGTTCTTGTCGGGCATGGACAGATCTAGAATGCCCACCTCGGCAGTGGATGCGGATGCACTGCCCGTCTGACTGCGAGGCGTGGGCGTGACCACAGGCGTGGGCATTGCGGCAGGTGCGGCATTTACCGCTGATGAATTACGCAAATCCAGCACCGTGGCGTTGTCATCCTCCAGGCTGGGCGGCTGCGCGCTCAGCGGCAGGCTAGACCCGACGCCGGGCAGCGCGCTATACGGATTGCCTTTGTAATGGGCCTGCGGCTCGCCCGAGACGGCGGCCACCTGCTGCAGCATGTGATAGGCGGCCGTCTGCTGCTGCAGCTGCTGGTACTGGGCGGGCTGGTACTGCGCCGGCGACTGGGGCGGCGCTGGCTGCTGATAGCTATGCTGGGCCAGCTTAAACTTGTGCTGCGCAAAGTTGGAGCTGGAGCCGGCCGAGGTGCGAGCTGGCGGCTCGCTGGGCGGCCGCGACAGGGGCGATGGCAGCTGCATATCTCGCGACTGCGGCCGGCTCAGGTATTTGTGATTGCTGTAGCCCTGGCTGTGGCTAGTGGGCGTGGCATTGCGAGGATAATAGTCGGGCGAGGTGTTCCTTGAGGTACTATGGTGTGGCTGCTGATGCTGCTGCGGCGACACAGCCGGCGGCGCCCCAACAGCAGCATAATGCCTGCCCAAGGCATACGGATCCATTGGAGGCGCTGCCGCCGCATTCTGCAGCTCAGCAAGTCCGTTCTGGCTGAGGTGCTCGGCGCTGAGGCCCAGCATTTGGGCCGCATACTCGCTCTGCGTGGCCACATCGGCGCCAATGTAGCCCTTGCCATCCACGCGCTTCATGTGATAAATGCGCTGCAGCAGCGGCTTCTTCTGCCTCTCGAACGCCTCCCATTGCTCGTGCAGCAGGCGGAAGCACAGCATGCAGGCCATCACGTACATTTGGCCGGCTGCCACGGGCGGCACACCCTGCGGCGGCTCGTGCCGCTCCAGGAACGGAAAATGCGGCTCGCTCGGTCGCTCCGGATTGGCGCGCACGCGCAATGCCTCGTAGCTGCCATGTCCGCCGCACACAAAGCAAACGGATGCGGTCATGTGCTCGGGCGGCGCCGAAGCACGGCCCGTGGACCGGACTGGCGCTGGATAATATTGCTGCATATTATTGTGATAGCCACCGAGCGGCGATGGCATCAGCTCCGCGCCGACCGCGTGCTGACTCTGCCCCGGCGGCATCGTTGGTGGTGGTGTTGCTGTTGGCTCGGATTGCAGTGGTGCGCTGCTGCCACGAAGTTCATTTTTAATGTACGCTTTCGCCTTTTCCATAATATTCAGCTGCAAAAAATGAGAAGAAGAATGCAATTAGTTAGAATGCTGAATTATATAACGATCAGAGAAGATTAACTCCATACAAAAATAAACTATGTAAGTGTATGTAAACTTAGTAAGGAACTAAGTAAAGGTCTATTGGAAGTATAGTATGATTCTTAGTTCTATATTCACTTTGAATAGGCCATAGAAACAACCTGCGATATACATATAAAAATTGAAATCGCTCTAGCTCTTACGATATTCAAATCTGGAAATACATATTGATTATATATCGATTCTAAGACAGATAGCATGTAACACTCTACAAAATACTTGTCGAGAGATCAACTTTAACGAAGTACTATATTATTACATAAAATTACAGTAGAATCCGATTATAAAGACGTTCAAGGGACCGTCGTTATACCCGGAAGATGCTATAACCGTATAAGTTTGCTCATAAGAGTTTATCTGGGGATCGTACAGACGTTGTAACCGGATTCTACTGTATTATATTATTCTATATAATTATGTCACATTATAAGGAATTATTATATATAATTATATCATATTTTATGTTATTATTATATGTAATTATCATTAATTTTATCGATTGTCATCCAATATCCCTAACATAATCAACAACAAAACCAATATAAATTATCGATATCGATATCGATGAAAACATCAAATTACGTAAAACTTTAAGTTGGCAGCATCATAAAAAGTTGACTTACGTAAGTTGCTAAGCAACAAATATTCAATCTCCAAAAAACATATCACCAAACAGAGAAACTAACAAGCAAATACTCCAAAATAATACGAATTCATATATATCGTATGCTCTATATACAATATTTACTCATAAGATATCGCATCTTTTACCAAAATGAAGCGCATACATATCGATACAGCTGTACCCAACTATCCCAGTGGTAAATGGACATGGGACGAAGCAGGTGATTGCCTGAAATTTGTCTCACATAGCGAATTGGGGGACGCTGGTGAGCGGTACATTGATACAAATGGATACAAGTTCCTGCGCACAATCGATCAGCACGAGGAAACGGTGTTCCGTCAGGTGTATGTACGCCCCGGCGCAAGGTATGATTTGGAAACCATTGGGTTAGACGATGTACGTGATCTGGTGCTCTTCATGATGCCAAAAGAGTTTTTAACCTTGAAGTTTGTTACCTTCATCCATCAGCCAGATGTCCATAGGCTACTTCATTCTTTAATTCTTTACTTTAACTATTTTCTTCAACTGGTAGAGTTTATTTTGATACGACGAGACGAGCTATCGGGAGATAAGGCCCAGGTGCAAAGCGAGCAAACGAATGAAGTGAAGCGAATATGGTCAACGTACTTGAGCCAGTATCGCCTATTGGTAGCCAGAAATTACAGCGTTATCTTAAAGAGCGAGGGTGATCTGAAGAAGTACTATCACACAAAAGAGATCGTCCATATCTCATCCAAGATCAAGGATCGTGCATTTCACAGTCAATTTTTGGCATACGCAACTCAAGTCGTCTGGATTACCTTACACAGGCGTGCGTATTTCATTATTGAAATGGAAATGAATCGACTGTTCCGATCTGAATACTTTCTAATGAACCGCAAAGAATATCTGGAATTTACGCCCGTCGAGCGATCGTTGCTCTATGGCCGCAACTGTAAAATTGTCAACTATCGTGAACAAAGATCACCGTTAATTCAGGAGTTACTCCATGTAGCCGATGAGGATATGCCGATTCTATGGATCGGAGAACGAATGTATCGTGGCTCTGATCATCGCATAGCCGAACTGGAACTGGAATATATGGTGCCTGATATGCAATTGTATATGGTCGATATATCGCACGGTATTCTGGGTCATCCAAAAACGCTATACAACACTATCCTCGCCTTGGACTGGCCATCAGTGCGCTATTCGAACTTTTCATTGAATTACGATCCATATTATATGATAAGGCAGCCGGAACTGCATATACCCAACATCAATGATATGGCGTTGCGGCGAATGTCGAAGAACTTGGAACAGTTCTACAAAATATTTCGCATATACGAGCAAGCGTCAAAAGCGGTTCTCATGAATTGGGTCAATCGAGTGAAGGTTCTCGAATACTATCAAACTGGCGGAGCTCTCAATACTCTTGAAAACAATTGCGAGTTACAATTGAAGAGCGATACGCGACAAGTGCATGAGATTGTTGAACAATTTAAGGATACAATGGGAAGACTACGAAAAAAGAAAGCAAAAGTAATGGACGACGTTGGGCATACGAATGCTGCGCCGGAGGAAAAGCCCGATTATGTACTCAAAGGCGATGACGTATATTTTGCAGAATAGTTCACATTCATTCAGACCAAATGGAAAGATTTGAATTGTGCTTCAAGTTGAAGTAATGGATATCGATTTCTTTCAATTTGACAATAGCAGCATTCAGTTAGAATAGCGCTATTAAACTGTTTTAATGCTGGCATCAAAAGCTAAACTAACTATAAATAAATCAACATAAAACATCAACAAATTCGGCGAACTTCTGATTGAAAAGATTTTTGTTTGATGGTGCTGATGATTTCATCAGCAAGATTTTACAGGCGAAAAACTAAAGAAAATTTAACACAATGAAATGATATTAGTATTAGAGATGATTTTCCGGAGGCCAGGAAAATTACTGAGATCAATCAGACTACGATTATCTGACTTTACTCTCTGCCTATTTGTATGATCGCGTAGATCTCGGATATTATTCCTGTATATCTCATATGCTGTAGATAACTATGCATCGATAACTCTTGCCACTCTTTCTTTTCGATTATAATCGATTGGCTTAGGCGTAAGCAAAAGAATTTTGAGCTTATTATTTAAATATCTCTCCCATTTTACTGAAGCAAATAGGTGCAAATAGATTTCATGGCTGAATTAAGACCATTTTTATTACATAAGCAAATCAATTAAATTTGCTGATTATGTTAAAACATTTACCCAAGTCAATGCAGATCAGTATTACTTTATAAATATATACTGAATTTTGGAATTCCATCTTCTCGTAACACCTATTATAATAAAGAGATTTTGAATAAGTAGTGACGAAAAAGAAAAAGAACCCGTTTTTGAACAATTAAGGACAATCACAATACAAAAGTTCACTCGCATCAAGTGTCAATAACAAAATAATCAATCTCAAAAAACATATCACTAAACAGAGAAACTAACAATCATCAAATATACCATATATTTAATATAAGTATAACAGTGATATTATCTCTTCGTATCCAACATGAATCGCATACATATCGATAGATCATTGCCAACGTATAGGGTTGGTAAGTGGAAGTGGAACGAAAGAAAAGAAAAGCTTAAATTTCTGCATTATACCGATTTGGAGGGTCAGCCAACACGTTTTATTTACACAAATGGTTATAAGTTTATTCGCACCATCAACCAGGACGAAGAATCGGTTTTACGAGAACAGTTTGTCCGCTCCGATAACTCATTCGATGCGGACACTGTGATAATCGATGATGTGCGGAATTTAGTGTTATTTTTAATGCCGAAAGAGTTTTTGAACATGCAGTTTCTTGAATTTATGCACCACCCTATTGTGCATAGACTGTTGCATGGTTTAATTATATATTTTGAATACTTTTTGCGTTTTGTGGAGCTGATCCTAATACAGCGAGATGAACTCAGTGACACATACCAGCAGATTAAGTCACACAATTCGACTAAAATTAAGCGAATTTGGTCCAAATATTTGAGCCAATATCGAATTCTGGTCGCTCGAGATTATACCGAACTGATAACGGGCGATGGAGATTTACATCAATTCTACCATCTGCGAAGCAAGCTCAATATTTCAGCCACGAAGACGGACGGAATTCTGTACGATCAATTCCTAGCGGTTGCAACTCAAATCGTTTGGATCACCTTGCACAGGCGGGCATATTACGTGATCGAGATGGAAATAAATCGACTCTTTCGCTCTGAACACTTCTATACAAAACGACCAGAGTATCCGAGGTTCACGCCCGCGGAACGTTCGCTGCTCTATGGGCGCTACAATAAGATTGTCAACTATCGTAATCAGACCTCACCATTAATGCAGGAGATGCAAAATATATCCACTGCGGATGTGCCTATTGTATTGATCGGTCGACGTAAATATCCTGGCACCGATCCACGTATGTTAGAGCTCGAGCTGGAATATATCGTGCCGGGATCGCAGCTGCGTCTCATCGATGTACAGCACGGCATACTGGGCCATCCGAAAGCGGTGTACGACACTCTCCTCAGGTTGAATTGGGCTGCTCTGCGCCAGTCCACGCATGCCTGGATAACTAGTAAACAACCATATCTACGCATACCCAACATCGAAAATATAGAGGAGCACAAGTCGTCTGAGGAGTTGAAGTATCGCTACAATATCTTCTTCCAGCACGAGCCAACGAATCACGAAACACTCGACAAATGGTTGAAGCGTGAAAAGATACTGGAATACTATAACAAACATGAAACTGTCAAAAGTGTTTATGACGAGGCCAAAACCCGTTTGGCATTCGAAGAAGAAAGGAGCCCCGTCGATAAGATTGTTTCTAGCTACTTGGGTATCATTTCCAAACTGCGACTAAACAAAAGCTGATTATCGAATAAGCAAAGTAAGGAAAGGCAAAATGGACTACTGAGCATAAAGTAACTCCTGAAGGTGAGACAATGGATAATCTGCTGGAGCTCTTTTTATATGCCAATTATGTTCGAATTTAGATTTAATTATAGTTCTTTAACTAGTTAAGTCTAATTTTACTTTGTAACGAATTAATATCTTAAATAAATGTAAACAGGACAAGAATTTATATGCGAAAGGCTTATGAGAACAAAAATTGCAATTTGCTGCATTTTCCATATTTGCGTGATACTTATTCAATGAGTGAAAAGAGCATATTGGCTTTCTGCAATGTCCGTTTAGCTCTTTAAAACCATTTAGTTGCAATTGAATATGAAAAGTTTGAATTGGGAATATATACCTTTGGATAAGTTTGCTTGTAACTGTTTTCCTACTTACGCCAATCCAAATGAAAATCTTTCTTTCGATTGCGAACGAGTATTAAGCAGTTGCTTAAGCCCGACTGCAGCGTTTTTACTTTTGATATTTAATAAACTTATTCGAGCCTCTATTCGGACTAAAAAAGTCTTCCATTAGCTGGAAATCCAGCATCAATGAGCTCTATATATTTTTTGCACGTGATTGTACTCAAATAAAATGTTTTGTATGTATAATTCGTCTGATTTGCTTTAATTGGAATTTACGACTCGACGCTAAAGCTTTGATTCAGTAAGTTCAATATTTATTTCATAGTTCCCAAGGCAAATCAAGTCATCAACGATCATTTTATAAGAAAGCGAAGAGTGAAGAGCATGCAGAGTAGTTGCTAAATGAGAACAGCATACAATTGCTTAGCATATTTAGGCTCAATTTCGAGTAGACCTGATCACACTAATTAACACAATTTCATCGGGTTCTCAGACAAATTTGCTCCAGTTCTATCAACGCACAACGGCACCGAGCCAATCCAAATGTTTACCATACCTAATATATATATTTTTAAATAGTTGTATATTTATTGCTTTGTTTGGGAAGTGTGGGCTTTCCTTTCTACCCGATGACCACGGCATTTGCGCCTTATCAACATCGAAGCTGATGCCACATACGTCATTCATAAATTTATTCACGAATGTTCGTTTAGAGCGTGTAATACATATTAATGAAACAAATGCGCAAAATAAAAAAAAAAAAAAAAAAAAAAAAATAATAAAAATATAAAAATGATCAGAAAACAGTTCGCGTCGACACGAAGCAATGGCCGACAGATCGCCGACAAAATAAAAGCTTCCCGCATCGCGATGCCAGAGATCACGATCGCAGATCATCGCAATATATGGGTTATCACGGCTCTGATGAAATAGGTTATCAATGCCGGCAATTGTCCGCTTAACGAGCAACAAAATTTGTATTTTAAAAAGCTCTGAATTCCAGAATTATACAAAATTATTGACATGATCAATACGAGCTGTACAGTTAGCTCCCGTTACATTGTTTGCATTTGTAAATGTAACTGAAGTACCAAGTTCTTATCGTAGCAAAATGTGTACTACATACATATATATATGACTAATTAAGTCACGATAATGCATCCAGAAATGTTTCTAATTTCCGTTTCTAATACCATTTACTTGTGCAGAAGTGTGCAGCGTATATTGATGGAAATTTGTTGTCTTAATACCGTTATGAATTGCCAAAACTTTTCTATTGATCTAAAATTATTCAGGTCTTAATCTCTTTGAAATTTATTTGAATGCTTCACTCTATTTATTTATTTATTTTATTTATTTTTTGCAAGTTTTCCTTTAAGGAAAGGACATACTCCATAATAAATATTTCTTATAGACTTAGTAGACTTCAATTGTTGACTATGTGTGCCTATCCCATTATTCTACCAAGCCAACTAATATTATATTATCTACTTTCTTATATGTAACGACTCAAGTCTATATAATTTAAGCAGAATATCAGCTAGCTTAGTATTTAATAATTCCCAAACGTTTCCATTAAATAAACTACAAGCTAAACATATAAATTGTAAGCCCCTAACTACAATAAATAGCCAACACATTACAAAACCAATTTAATATTTTTTATTTATATTTATATTACCTTAAAATAGATTATTGATTAAATACAAACTGATTGCTATACCCTGTAGGTCAAAAGGTTGTGTAAATATTTTGCATTATTGTGAATACTCGATTTCAAAATCAACATAAAAAGTCAATTTAAAAATTTAATTCCATCTTCATTATACAATTACAATTTAATAATACCATACTGTAGAAATAATTTCATGAAATGAGAGTCTTAATGTCTCTAATAGGTAAATTGTCTGATTCTATCAGCTGCATAATTAGAAAGTGTATAATTTCATATGCAATTGCAAGTGTAATGAACAAACGTGCCAAAGCAGCTAGATATAAAAGATAGATATAAAAGCATTATTGTAACAGGTAATTAAATTGCTTTATTTATTTATTTTACTGTTCAAATTAAATTTTCCAACAATTGTAAACTTGTAAGCGTACAAGCGCCATAAAGTTAACACAAACTGAACAAACAACAACAAGAAGAACAAGAACACGAGCAACAACAACATCAGCATAAACAACAAATTTATCAAACCCCTCGCCAACCGCACCCGCACCCCGCCCTCATCAGCAACATCGATGTGCATCGAGCTGGCCATGTTTCAATTATATATATATTTTTATTTTTCTTTCATCGACGTTTTTTTTTTAGAATTCCATGCAGCGCCAAGTTTTAGTGCAGAGTATGGGATATGACTAGTGGCAGCAACTGCCTGCTAGAAAGAGAAATGTGCCACTTTTTATAGCCTTTACCCTGGGTTATAGAAATGGGGTATATTAAACGGCCTTTTTTGCTCACTAAAATATTGTCAAATTTATTTCCAGTTTATTATATTAATATTATTTTTTTATTTATTATTATTATTATTATTTTTTTTGACAATTAAGTAATTATCATTAATTTTATCTTTACCATATAGACTTTTGCTATTTCTATAATTCGTTTGTTAGTCAGTTTATTTTTTAGAAAATTAAATATAGCTGAAAATATATACTTATATTTTATATTTAATGAGTAGTTTTGACTAAAATATTGGTCTTTGACTAGAAAACATCCAAGCATTAGCCAGGATTTGGAATCCTTCTTTGTCCTTTGTAAAAAAAAAATAAATAAAAATAAATAAATAAATAAATTTAAAAAAAAACCTTTTTAAACAAATTTGAATTGTATAGAAAAATGTTATGCTTTATAAATTTTGAATTTTGATCATATATACCATATCTATATTTATGTGGCGCTCAGCTGGGACACTTTTACTGGAAATTCACTGTAAGCTGATCAATTCAGATGCAGAATCATTATTACTAATTAAACGCAATTATAATTAATTAATTAATACAATTAATTAATTAATTAATAAGATTCTGCTGGCAGGAATTAATTAATTAATTAATATAATTAATTCCTGTAATGTAATCTAATTTCATTCAACATCTAAGGGAACTATGGAACTATGTAAACTAAAAAAAAAAAAAAAAATAGTCCATGCTCAAAGAGGTAATAACAGAACACAAACTATTTGAAGTATTTAATTCAAGGGTATTTAATTTTCCAAACGCCCAAGTTAAATGCTCTACTTTTTTGCTACGGCAGCCTTTTAAGAGCTGTTGTTGTTGTTGTTGTTACTTTTGTTGTACAAGCGAGCTTCGGCATGCACTTCAACAATTTTGTTGTTGTTATTGTACTGCCGTGTCCTGCTGTTGCTGTTCCTGCTGTTGCTGTTCCTGCTGCTGCTGCTGCTGCTGCAGTTGTTTTTAAAAACTTTTGCTGCACTGAAACATTTTTATGGCTCTCGTGTCCTTCTGGCAGAACCATAGCGCACATGGAAACGAAGTTGAATGAGAGAAAGAAAAAGAAAAAAAAAAAAACACAAAAACAAGTGAAATAGAAAACACGGCGTAAAGAAATTCACGTTGATGGCTTTAAGCGTCGCTCGCAGTAAAACTTTAAGAATCGAGCAGAACAAACGCAAGTTCCCATTGCTTATCGCCGTTTGTTCTTGTTCTTGACATTGTTTTTGTTATTCTTTCGACTAGAGTAGTTCGTACGCCAATAGTAGGAGCTCAGAGCGGAAGTTCCATGCAACAAGAACTAAAGTAACTGAAAGTTTTCTAGGACGGTTCGCAAAAAGTTGCGCTGTTGAGAACTTTTAACGCTTTTTTGGGAATTTGTTCCTCATTTTTTTCTTCTATAACTTTTCTGTTTTTTTTTTCCTCTGCTTTTCGCTCTACTACTGAGGTGCTTAAACTTTGCCGTCTTTATTGTTCGTTTTTATTCTCTCTTTTCTTTTGTCTGTTCTTAGTGACTTTGTTGAAATGGAAAACTAAACGCATTGGCAAATACAACGAAGTTTCCCCAACATCAAATTTAATTTAAACAAGAAGAAACTTTAGCAAGCCAAAGATTAAATAGCTTCGTAGACAGGCACATGATGTGTAAAGTTTTGCATATAAATAGGCTCGATCGATTGTGGCCAGAGGAGAGAGATGTTAGAGTAAACCCATTAAAGTCAAATGTAGTACGTCAAATATCTAACAAGTGAATTCACATATTATTTACGATTTATAAGCTATTTCTGATATAATAAGCCAGCTGCAACTTCAGGGAAAAGTTAATGATATATTCAAATATAAAGTTCGTTGCATCCACATATTTGCACATTTATCTATATCATATTAATTTACATTTAAAAACATTTAAATTCAACTATTTACAGAGTAACTAACTGTCGAACTTTCCAAAATTCATGAACTTTCCGCGCAAAGTATTTTTAGTTGTTTCGTTTTGTAATTTGTTCGTTTGAATAGCAGAATTGAATTTTAAAATTTGCATTGGCCAACAACACGAACAACACAAACTGCATATAAATCCTGGCAACATAGCGACGGACATTGGGGCAGCGCGCGGGGCGGGGGCATAAAATGGAATTTATTAAATAGAATTCCACGCAATAAACTCAGACAAATAAAAAGGCTGGCAAAAATAACAGCAGCAACATCAGCAGGAACAGCAAAAAAGCAACAACAACAACAACAGCAACAAAAGCAAAGGAAAGAGCAAAAAACAGCAAAAACAAAATTCGTAAATTCGTGCCTGCAATTTTATGGCAGGACGTTCGATGTTGGCTATGTGCACGCATCCCGTCGCCAAAATCCCAGCATTTTCCCCGAAACCCGTTCGTCTCGCTCTACTTTATACAACAACAAAAAATAATAAAATAAAAACAAACAGAAAAAATAAATAAAACCTTTTCGGCCTCGAAAACAAAAGCGAAATAAAATATGAGACAACAGCTAATTGCGAAACAACGAATAAAATATACACTTGGGAGAGGAAAGTTATTAAAATGCAAACATTTCAATAAAAATAAATGGAATATAGCATACAACTAAAAAGTAATTAAAACTTTTGATTATAGATAAATAAATAAAGTTGAACATTTTTAGTTTAATTTTCATGTATGATATAGAACTTAAACTAGTTTATAAGGGTCAGCTTTAATTTGGCGATCAATTAAAAAATGAAATTTGCTTCAAAGGGTATTTAAAGTATAGCATATTACATCTATATTACCTATGTATATATACGACTAAGAGATAATTATCATTGAACATATATTTATAATAATAAAAGACCCAAATAACGATTAGACTAGTATTATATAAAATATAAATTTAAAATAATCAGATTATAGATATAATTCCAATCTCTCTCCCTCTCTCTCACCCAAAAATTTTAATTTCCACAAACTTATAGAAAAATAAGTATATTACAGTCGAGTGCCAATAATTCGAAATTTTCGATGTACACAGAAATTAATATTATCGAGAATTACCGAGAACGAATTTTTCAAGTGGGTACATTTCTTCTATTTATCGAGATTTTTGATCGAGACTCGACTGTATATATTACTCGACTGTATTATATTATTATTATTAGTCTGTTTCATACAAGTCACCAATTAATGTTAGCCACTTGGTAAGGGTATCGAGAACAAGATGAGCAGAGAGCATCACATTTTTTCCATTAACGACTGTCGCAACTGAACCCCCATCCTCCGTTGTCCTGTTGTCCCACCGTCCGTTGTCCAGTTGGACAGTTGGAAGCAAAACAAAAACAAAATAAAGGTTGCTGAGCGCCAGTCTCCCAATGCTCCCAGTGCTCCCCAATGCTCTCCAGCCAGGGTGAATTAATAACCGTTGTCGCTTTTAAAGTTCAGTCGAATCGACCGCAAGCGACGCAGACGGAACGGAGCGAACGGAAGAGAGTGAAGGGGGAACAGAAGGAAACGGCACACAAGACGAGGCCCAGATGAATTGACATTTAATTATTGCGTAAATCATAATTTTGTTCTTCTTTTTTTTTGTGTTTTGTTTTATTCTCTGTTCCCCCATTTCATGTCGTTTGGCGTTGTTAAGTGCTCCACACTGGGGACCAACCACATCAAATACCCGTTTTAACGGCTTCGCATTCATTTCATTTCATCACTTTAATAAATCGACAAGGATTTAACTTGTTTCTGATAGCCAGAAATATGTTATGAACTCCTTTATGACTGGAAGTGCAATAAAAATCTAGATATCAGGCATGGGATAATGTTTGCGGAGATACTTTAAATAAGTGAAGGCGTATTATGAGCATATCAATGGAATCTTATTTGAGTTTTAATGTTATCATGTAATTCATAACTCCGGGTAAATTTATACTGCGTAAGCTTGTATTTCAATTGATTATCATTAAAATAGTTGGTGAATAATAGAAAAATAATTGAGCAATAAAGTTTTTTAGGTCGCAGATAAAGTTTGATAAACAAATAAAATCTCAAGTGAATTATTAAGAAAAACACGTCACGTTTGCTTGTGTGTATACAAAAGTAATTAAGCAAAGATATTGCAAAGATAATAATATTTGCCTTAATTATATTATTTGTTCAGAAAGAAACACAATTCTATTAATTTTTATATTACTCGTATTTCTAGGATTCGGAATAAGAATAAGTGAAAGTTGTTTGGAATGTGAGTCTATTTACTCGTTGTTTTTGAAATATAAGAGATATTTTATTTCGGAATATGAAAAATGAACAGACATTAATATATAACAATAGAACTAACAGTAGGAGTAGCAGCAGCAGTAGATTAACAGTGACAGTAACAGTGGCAATAACAGTGACAGTAACAGCAATGGTAACACCACTAAATGATATAGTGACAGAGTCAAGTAAATATGAAATGGATTTATGACATCCACTAAAGTGCTCTCCCTCTGTTGTCATGCTTTTCAAAGTACATTGCAAATACCGAACCCTTGCTGTATTCTACAAGTTAATCCTTAGATAAGGCTTTTGCACCTGGTCATGACTATACCAGAGTTCAAGGATGGCATGGAAATTCCCATTAATATTCTTCTGCGCTTTACTTTCGTTACGTTGTTAGCCAACATTGCATACAGAAAGCTGGGAATTCTAATCTTATCTCTATATAGTATTATCAGCAGACTTTTATTTGGCTATATTTAGATTTTTTGCGATTTTATTTATGCATATTCAATTAATCAAATAGGAGTGTTGTAACAAATGCATAATTCACAGCGAATAAGTGCTAAACTATAAAATTGTGAGTGGCCAATCGCTTAAAGGGCGCAGCAAATGGGGTATATGGGGCATTAACTGAAACATTTTCGCAGTAACTTGGGGAATGCCAAGCGATATTCTAGCAGAACTAATGCGGCTTAACTAATGTTTTCCTGGCGCGCTATGGAGTATACATATATTCGGATTGTGTTGCTTGTACTATAGTAAGAACCGCAATGAATGTCATGTCAAATTAATTTAAATTAATTGAATTGCCAATTCATTGGCGGTGCGAGTCTAACAGAAACTGCTTCGAACCAATGCAGCGCAAAGCGAAGATTGATTAAACCGAAGAAAATAACAAGAAATTAAAGACAATCGATTCTCTTTGGTTATTGTTTTATATCAGCTATGTCGTACGTTTGGCTGTTCTGATACAAACCTGTGTGCAAATGAATAATCCAGATCCAGATCCAATTAAATGCTGCTGCTGCTCCACAGACACACACGTACACACACATGCAGTTGCATATGTACATGTGAGCTCGTAAGCTTAAAAGCCCAAGTCACGCGTCTTGGGGGCAATGAGACGAGAGTAAAAAAACAACAAAAACCGACACGAAACGCATTTGGGAAAGATGCGCGCGATGCGATTAAAAGTGGCGGCGGCCTGCTAGGACGGCGGGTCAGGCGCAAGGTGAGACACAGAGGCACAGGCACTGACACTAGCAGAGGCAGAGGCGCGGGCAGAGGCAGAGACGGCGCCGCCAACAACACCGACAAGTGACGTCAAAGAGCGGCTTAAATTCACTTAAACACATTAGGAGCACGAGAGAGAGATAGACAGATAACGTGATAGAGAGAGAGTGAGGCACTTGGTGTGGCTTTTTAGCTTTAAAATTACTTTTAGCTTTTTATTTAGCTTTTGGCTTTCTTTTGATTTGGCTGCTTCGCTGATTTCTTTGCTCACTTAATTTTAGCTTTAAAAGCTTAAGAGCACAAATGGCTGATCGACTTAGTGCACGACGGCTGCTCGGGGGGTTTTTCTATGTATTCTCAGCTGTTTTCTAGCTGTTGTTTTTGTTGTCAGAGAAAATTAGAGCGAGTTGTTGTTTCTGTTGCTGTCGTTGCTTTTGGTTTTGTTTTTGCTGCTGCTGTTTTTGTCATGCTGTCGACTTTCGCTTTATTTCGCTTTGCAATTGTACAATTGAAACATTTTCAGGTATTTATTGTAAACATCCAATGAATTGAGAGCAATGCGTCGCTTCATGGTCACTGCGGTGGTCTCTGCATAAACGCGCACACACACACACTCACACACGAATAGCGCAAACACAGACACGCACGATCACGATCAAAGCGATGGCGGAGCCCCCAGCCCCACGTCGGCAACGCAACGGCAACGGCAACAACGGCGATGAACAACGGGCGACGGTATCTACGGCCACCGTCACCAGCTGGTTGCAATTATCGTCAGCAACTGCAGCCGCGTGCACTATTCACTAGCTTCGATTTGTATTTGGCCAGCACGGAGCACGGCCATGCACTACAGTCGAGTGGCTCCCTACAGCAGGCAGCGGCGGCAGCGGGCAGCAGTCGGCAGCGCTTATTCAATTGTTTGCATTAGCCTTGCATTCACGTTTAGCACTATCGCGAGCACTGGCCGTCGCTTGTTGCTGCTACTACTGCTGCGCGCTATTGTCGCCAAGGCACACGCGAATTATTACAGTCAACACTAACTTGGCGTTAGAAATATTTTTAGAATTTCTTTTAAATGCGAACTCTCAAAGTATTATAACACTGTGTCGCCGCAGACGGGGCGATATTTACATTTAGATTTACACGCCGAACTACGGCCAACTTATCGATGACACCATCGACGGAAGCCGATAGTTATGCGACAAGCATCGAATGCACACACGACTATCGGGTCTACTTTGATAACCTTCACAATTTACAAATTGCACCTCTGCATAATTCTGTTATTGATGTCCAATTAAAACTATTTGAATTTCCGATTAGAAAACACGAAATTTCAAACAAAAAAATATATCAAGGGTATAACTTTCGCTAACATTAAAAAAATATGTTTACAAAATATTTAGATTTTTAAACCGTATTTTATAGTAAGGTAAATCATGAAAGATTATTATTTTATTTTAGATAAACAAAAATATGCAGAATAGAAAATACTATCGACGGAGTCTGTTCTGCAATAAAATATAAACATCGTTTAAGCCGATATATAAATTAATCGATGTTGAAACTTGCAAGTTTCATAAGACAGCACGCGCCTGTATTTGAAATTTAATGAATTGAGATATAAAATATCTTTTTAGCTGCTGTTTTGTGTGTTTCAAAGCATAAGCTATGTAAGAATGGTAGTCATTAATTGTTATTTAATATTAAGTTTAATAATATCTGTTGATTTCTATATAAACGTGCTGTGTTTTGGTTTTTATTTGTTGTCATTCTTTCTGTTCTTTTCATTTCTATATGACTTTCATCACTATGAAAGTTTTTAAATTTTACCTAAATATTAATGTCATAATAAACAATTGACGTTTTAAATTAATATTTTTAAACTAAAGCGGAAAATATTTGGATTGTTAGTTATCGAAAATGACAGCCAGTGTGTACACCTTAACATTGCTCTGTTAATTCACAGACAAAAGTGGCGGCTTACCGATAATCTGACGTTTCACTAAAGAGCGCGTCAATTTAAAAATTCAAATCATTCAATCAGTCTCCTAGTACGCTTGTGCTATAAATATCAAAATATATAATAAGTAAATTAGTATCAAACGACTTGCTGAAAATGAACACAAAACGTATGATTTTGATTGTTTGTATATGCAGTGGTAAGTTATTTCAATTTGGACTGAATGCGTTTTTATAAAGGCTTTCTTAAATTCTTCAGCTTTTCTCTTAGTAGTGAGAGCAGAACCTGAGAAATGCTCCAATTTCAAACGTGTTATCGAAATACTTGGGAACACATCGAATGCCACCATCAAGCTTGTAGATTTGAATAATAATACGAAGACTAATGGAAGTGATACCAAGGATTTTAACAAAATTAAAGACTCGCCTGATGTTCTCATATTATCGGATAAAGAAAATGTCTCTAGCAATTCAAAGTGGATATTATCAAAGAATTCTAAAACTTATCCATTTAACGTCTTTTTACCGCGTTTTAAGCATAAACTGAATGTCTTTCACCCACATAAGCCCCCTAAATTGGATAAAACCCTTTTCCAGACGGCAGAAAATCAGAACTATATTTTTATCAAGGAAAAACTTTATATGGTGCTCTATGACAAACACTTTTCGCCCAAGTTGAGCATCGTAAAGCTAATGTACACCGTAGTCGATGGATTCTGTAAGTGAACTCACATTAGATATTTGATCCTAATTGAATTATATATATTGTTCGCAGGGGATTAAAAAGATTTTTAAATTTCCATTTAAGTTAATCAAAATCACAATGAGTTGGTATTTGATGAAGAAAAGTTGATCGAATGAGGGACATATGTTAATGCAGTTTGGAAATATTTATTTTTATTTATGATAAATATATTCTTCGCATATTTAAAAAAGAAAACAAAAAAGAAACAGGGAAGAAAGGGAACCAAATGTATTGTTTAAAGAGTTTATAGAAATAAATGTTAATAAAGAAATCAGAGTATAAATAATTCCCTTGCTAACACTAATTTGTCTCTATTCAGTTACCGTCATATGGAATTTGATTCCAATTCTTCTCAATTAATAATTCATTTTGATATTCTAAGCCTTTCTATTCCCAGCGTATTTCCATTCTATTAAGTGGCTAACATAACCTCAAATAGCTAAACAGCATTAGACATAATTTTGAAAACTTCCAATAAAGCAGATATTACTTTACTCAGTTCTAATTCTAATGATTGTTTACAAATTTCTCGCTATTTTCTAAAAAATTTCTTTCTGTTCAACATAATAAAGATCAAAGAATTTAATTTAGAAATAGAGAAAGAGAGAGAGAGAGAGAGAGAGATAGCGAGATACTGCATTTTTCAAGACATTTCTACACATTCAAATATTTATATATTATTTTGTTTAAGTTGCATGGTTTAGACACTTACGAATCTAAAATAATCAACTTAACCTCAAATTAAATAATAAACTTAAATCCATAGAATTTATAATTCTGGTAAGTTTTATAAACTATTTCATTCATTTTGTTTCTCAAATTCGAATAACAAGCCCATTTGGTTTTTTTTAACTTTAAAATTTTCACGGAAGCTAACTTAACCTCAATGCTTTTCATACATGTATATTTTTTTAAAAATATATTTTAATACATTTACTTTAAAGAAACCCACACACAATCGCAAATACCTAAGCTGTCTAAAAAAATAAATAAAAATTTAATAAGAAATATAAGAAATAAAAACAAAAATAAATTCGTTGATTTTGTATATATGGTATAACATGTTAACATTTATTATTGACTACGTTTTAATATCGCATTTTTTTCTATTTTTTTGTTGTTTTGTTTTTTGCATTTAGCATTAGCTTTTTTTACTGTTCTTGCAGGTACTTAGTACTACTTGCTCCACTAAACTTGCGATTATTGTACGCTTGTCCTAAGTTAATATAGATACATATACATATATATATATATATATATAGATTTAGATATATACACATACAAGACTATATATATAGGGTTTTACATGAGAATTTGGGCATAGTTTAGTTTTAGTGTTAATAAATACTAAAAGTTTAGGCATTTTGCATTAAATATATATATTAAATATATATAATAAATACATCTCGAGCGTTCGTTACACATAAGTTATACAGTTATATATATATATTAATAAAGATATATGTTTGTTTGTTTTTAAAGTAAAATATTTTTGTTGTTTGTAAGTAACTTTTAGAAGTAGCCGCTGTTGCTGTTTGTTAACTTGATTTGATTTTTGTTTTTTCTTGTTAGCCTGAAACATTTCAGGACATATTTCTCTCTTCTTTTTTTTTTTTTTTGTGTGTGTTTATCCTCTCTATCAGAGTCAAGAGCCAAGTTGTACATTCGCATTAGGTTTTCTGAGTTGATGCACTTAATTCGCTAGACATTTAGTATTCGTATTCGTATTCATATTCGTATATATATATATATAGATTACAGACTAGGTAGGCTAACATGTTAAGTCTTAGAGATAGGGTTAAATAGCACTTTATAGTCGTGGTTTATATATCCATAAAATACTTGAGTAAAGATACGAGCTAGCTGTTTTACTGTTTTGCTGTTTACTATTTTCTGTTTTCACTTTACTGTTATTCGTTTTGCGTTTGCTTGATTTTGTAGAGTTTTGTTTTTGGTTTTTTTGGTTTGTTCCCTCGAAAATGTGAATGGTCATTTATAGATAAGAAATTGCAACAGCTAGACGAGATCACGTTCAGACAATCGGCACGCACACCCACTCCATCAGCCGGAACAGCAGGGAGCACAGCCAATTCTAGGCAGCCGTCGTCACCTTTGCCGCCGCGCCAGGTGGTGCAGCTGTCTCGACTGTCGCTGCAGAGCCACTGCCAGAGCTGTCCAGCTGTTGTTGTTGTTGTTGTTGTTGCTGTTCGGACTGCTGCTGCTGCTCCGACTGCTGCTGGGGACCAGCGATGTTAGTGCTGCTGCAGCTGCTGCTGCTGCTATTGGCAACGGTTTGGCTGTTGCGCAGTTCCGGGGGCAGATAGATTTTGGCTACGCTGATGATCTTAGCACGGCAATTGGGGCAACTGCTGCATCTGCAAGAGAACAATTTGAGCAAACAAGAAAATTGCAATTAGTTTCAGTTAGCTTGGGGTCATCTGCCATCAAATGAACTCACCTCGCCGCACACTGTGCACAGGCAATGACGTGACAGCACGGATTGAACACTGTGTTGATCGGCCGATCCATGCAGATCTTGCACTGCATAGCCTCGTTGATGCGGCTGTCCACGCAGCGCTCAATCGCCGCCTCACGCGCCTCCTTCTCGCGTATGGCCAAATCTATCTTGCCGGCCATGGAACCGCCAACATCGCCAACACCACCCTCGCCACAGCCGACCACCGTCTCCGGATCGCAGCTGCCGCCGCCCATCACATCGATGGCCCCCATGGCGCCGCGTTCGTGCAGTATGCGACGCGCCTGATCGTGCACCTCGCGGCACGTGTGCTGTATATCGAACACGTAGCGCTTGCCCAGCTCGGTGTCCTCCTTGAACATCGACGCAATCGTACCCTTGAGATCCCGCGTAAACTGATTCGTCACCACGCAGCGCACCTTGTCGCACACATAGAACGCATGGCGCTCGGTGATCGAGCGATACAGCCCGGCGGCAATTGGCGGCTTGGACAGCTTTATCTCCAGCTCCTTGCGATCATTATGATCGTCCACGTACTCCAGCTTAAAGGTGCGTCTCAGCGACTTGGCAGCGGCAATGGCACTGAATGGGATGCTGCTCGAATGCAGAGGAAGAAAGAGAAGGAGAGAGAGAAAAATAAGTATGATACAACATTATATAATATAATATTATATATTGTAATATAATCAGATTTCAAAGGAAAACTCTTGGGGTCTTTTAGGCATGATGTAAAAGCTCAAAGATTAAGAAAAGCTTTCCAGTCTGTAGATAGAATAAAGAATTGTAGCTAGTGGGTTTCAGGGACTGATCTTCAATTATAATGAAGCAACTGAATAGAAGCAAATTCAAATTTGATTTCTATAATATGGAATGTCTAATAAATGAGTTCCAATTAGTATTAAAACAAATAAATAAAGCTTAAGCTAAGTAACTTTCAAAGAGCTTTCACTTGAACGAATTTACTAGATTTTTTCAGCTTTCAATAGAGCTTTCAACCTTGGAAAATGTGTCCCGCTCTAAGGAGTTCCAAATGCAAAGCTTTTATGAAATAGAATAAAGCTTCAATGTGCTTTCTAAGTTACTTCTTAAGTAGGACTTTTTTCTCTTTAAAGATGAACTTGGGTGTAGAATAAAAAGCTTGGCCTAGGGCTGAAGATCAAAGCTAAGATAAATAATTATTTAAATTGACTCTATGGAATATTAGGGTTGTCAAGGTCAGCCTGATCTCTAAGCTAATGTTCGAGTAATCCTTCACAGTTCTTCAGCTCACCTTTCTTTTTCTTCCCCACGAATGACTGTGATGCCATGGGCGCCCACTGCAATGTCGCAGGGCGTGGCGCTCTCGTTGGTGGTGACGCCGCTGAATAGCTCCTCGCCGTAGCCGCTCAGCTCCTGGATGCCCTGCAGCAGCCAGTACTTGGCCGCCTTGGGGGTCATGGGCAGCTTGGCCAGCTTGCTGTGCTCGGTGGCAATCTGTCGCAAGAAGTCGGCGGGCGGCTCGTTGTCGCTGTCCTTGTCTGTGGCGCTGGGCAGGATTATGTACTCCTCGTACATGCGCAGCGGATTGCTGGCCAGGCGCTCGTCCAGACCCGAATGGCTGCTGCTGCTGTTGCTCGGGCTGCTCGAACTGGAGGCGGATGCCGACACCGAGGCCGATGGCGATGGCTGCAAATTGTTGCCGCTGTTGCTGGGAACAGAGCTAGCTGGCGCCGACAGCGTGCAGCACTCGATGTGCTCCACGGACTTCTGTTTGGACAAGCGGCGCTTCTTGAAGCTCAGCACGTGCTCCTTCTCCTTGCGCTGCTGCTCCAGCTTCTGCTGCTGCTGCTGGGCCAGCTGCTGCTGCGCCAGCTCGCGGCGCATGCGCATGGGGCACTCGGCGCGCAGCGACTGCTCATTGAAGCGCAGCCCGTCCGCCTGGCAGAGCAGCGCCGCTAGCTTCGCTGCATTGCTCCAGTCGTGGGCGCACAGGCGCGCCTCCAGCAAATCCCGGCGCGCCTGCATGTAGAACAGATTCCGCACACTCTCCTGCAGGATGCTGTGCACCGGCACCCAGAACTTGACGCGCAGCGCCAGCATCAGCTGGTCACCATTGCCGCTGCCACTGTCGCCATGCAGCCGATTCCTCAGATTGTACCATTGCCGTGTGCGTGACTCCTTCTGGTTGGGCGTCCATGGCTCCAGGCCAAAGTACTGCATCTCACATATGATGCCCAGGCCGTGACACACCTGCAAAAGTGCAAGAATTTCGAATGGAATTAGTTGAGAGCTTAGAGAGGTTGGAGGTTGAATGTATCTTAGATATATATAGATATATAGATATATATGTATATGTCTTAGCTTATTAAATAACTAGTTTTTATTCTCCATGAGTTTCCGTTTACTACACCTTAGCGTTTGTCTAGTGTATTACTCATCAATCAGCCTGATTGATGAGTAATACAATTTAATTTCAATTTTTAACTCTCTGTCAATTTGAGCTTCATATCTCATACCATTTAGCCGCTGCTTTACCCATCAATCATGCTGATTGATTGACTCTATTCATAGCTTTATAGCGCATAATAAATTCTCCCTTAACATATAGTGGAATAATTAGCGAATTTATTGTCATCAGACTCCAATACTTGATCAGGAGATATTGGAACCTGATGAGAATTGATTGATGATTGATGATTGACGTTCATATTTTAACCACTTTGCATTTAGAGCATTTGGATAAATTCTTTAAATTTCCAACTTTCTTATCTTAAGCCTGGTTCCTCAATCAAGCTGATTGATTAATTCAATGAAATACGAGGTTTATAGCC